GGTCTGGTCGAGTTATCAAGCCACCTAAAAGACTTAACTTATAGGAAGGGACATGTATGATATTAGAATAAGTGTTGTCGATTATAGTAGGCTTATATTATTACGTAGTTGTTATCAAAATATTAACTGTCAAGTACACACGAGCTAATAGCAGTGGCCTGGTGTCGGCTTGACAATACATATTAATAATCAGTTGTTTTTTATAGTTAGTTCTTGAATAGATTTATTCTATGAATAGATTTATACTGTATCAGTTCCAGAGTTTCATTCCAACTTATACAAAAGATATCTAAGAAAATCTTAGGGAGACTTTGGGATACTTGTTAAAGAGATTTGTATCCCAAGAGAAAAAAAATTGAAGATAACCCAAGATATTACAGATTCGGGGAAATCCCAAGAGATCCAAGGACATTCAAAATATATCTGAGAGGATTCAGGGAATACTTGTCAGAGAAATTTGTTTTCCAAGAGAAAAAAAAATTGGAGATCTCCAAATATATTACAATTTCCAAGATATCCAAAGAGATCTTAGTAAATTTGAGAATATTCAGAGAAATCCCAGGAGATTGTTACTTGCGTCCCAAAGGAAAAATGTCCGACTATATCTGGAGTGGCTCCAACGAGATACGAATATTACTGACACGCTCCAAAAAGATTAAAGAAATATCTTAGGAGATCCATGAAGATTTTGGAACACTTTTTGGAGAGATTTTGTATACCACCAACAGTTCTCAGGAAATTCTCAGAGATCCAAGTTAAGGTGAGGAGATCCAACAAGTCTTTGGGACACTTGAAGAGATTTGTTTCCCAAGAGAAGAAAATTTGGGAGTATGAAAACATTTAGAAGATTTGAGGAAATTCCAAGAGATCCAATGAATTAACAAGAAGCCCATAATATGCTCGGTTTGCTCAGCGAAAAATTATTAGGGGTGGTTTGATAGTTTAACCTTCGGGCAGGCGCGCTATCGGCCTTTTATGCCGCCTTTGTACTAATTCAAGGATTCCGCAAATATTGTGGATTTTATCATATTGTCCATCTAGCTATGTTCAAATGACTATATCAGTGAACCTACTACGCACAATTTATGGCCTTAGAGCGCTTGTTCAGATGTCTGTGAGTTCTTGAACTTGCAGTTGTTGAGTTTTCGGCACTCCGTGCCGCGTGCCGCCAGCGCGCTTGGTCGTGTAAGTATAATTAAAAGGAGAATAGTACAAATATTATGAGTATTTTTTTGTGTTTTTGCGAAATTAGTACAAAGAATTTCATTTAGTTGCCTAGAATTAAGGGTTAATAAAACAGTATGGCAAGGGCGCCACTGAAAAAAAAAAAACTAAAAAAATTAATAATAAAATTGCAGAAAATATAAAAGGGTAAAAATTCAGAAACACACCTAGAAAATAATCAGAAAACGGTAATCACAAGACTTTTCACTTATATTTTCTCGGTAATCAATAGATTATTGCTCTACGCAACTTTTTTTCGTTACGGTAATGCCTGAAGGCCGATAGGGTACTTTTCTCAACGAGAACGGTAATTACATTTGAGGAAGATGGCTGCCCCCCAATCCAGCCAGCCACACTCAACGTTTTTGGGGCAACAACAAAATTAGAAAAGGGCTCTTCAATTTTCTCTTCCAGAATAAATAAATTTCACTTGACATTTTTGAAGGACCACCGATCAATCTGTCAACCCTCAGCTATGTGAAAGTACTACGTTCGAAAACTATCAACGAGGTTAAAGAGCAACATTTTACTACGTCGAGTAGATCAAGGTAGTGTAAGATTGTTTTTCGAAAGTCAAAGGGATTAGGATTCGAAATTAGAGTCAACTCAACAAAATAAACAGTTTAATTCAAATTTAAAAAGTGCGATACAACACGACTACTTAAAACAAAAGGCTAATCAGTCAATGGTTGAATTAGTTGAATAATGGAAAGATTAAACCAGGGTGTGTGGGGCTTTTCTTTCGAACGGCATAGAACATTGACAATCTCAATCTTTGGAAAAAAACGAGGCAATTCCAGGTTTCGATTTTTCCTTTTTTTCTCAATTTCTATTTAAAAAAATTAATAGATTAGCCTCAGAAGTTTCTCAAATTTTTAAACAATCTTCAAAGTCTTTAGGGCCTTTGAAATCTCTAGAATTTGTCTTCGAAATCCATACTTCAAAAAAATTCAATATTCCTTGAAAGCCTTTATTAGTTTTCAGACTTTTTTGGATCTCTGGAAATATATCCAAGGAGATTCCCAGAGCTACAAGTGAATTTGAGGAAACCTAAAGAGATTCAGAAGATAGGTAGGTATCTGAGAAGATCCAGGAGGTACTTTGAGATACTTGCGGAGATTTGTATCCCAAGAAAAGAAAATTTGAAGATATCCAAAGATATTCTAGATTTGAGCAGATCTAAGTAAATTTGAAGATATTCATAGGATATCCTATAGGAGATTGTTCATTGCATTCCAAAGGAAAGATATCCAAAAATATTGGTAGAAGCTCCAACGAGATACGGATATTACTGAGACGCTCCAAGAAGATTAAAGAGATATTTCAAGAGATCCAGGAAGAATTTGGAATACTTCTTGAAGAATGTTTATATGTCAGGCTAAGTTCCAGGATATCCAAAGATATCAAGAGTAAATTTGAGGAGATGCAAGGAGAATCAGAAGATATGTGAGAAGATGCAAGGCAGACTTTGGGATACTTGTTGAAGAGATTTGTATCCTAAGAGAAGAAAATTTGAAGATATCCAAAGATATTTTCGTTTTCAGGAAACCCCAAGAAATCCAAGTAAATTTTAGGATGTTCAGGAAATATCCTAGGAAATTGTTAATTGTGTTCCAAAGGAAGAACATCCGAAGATATCTGAAATGGCTTCAACAAAATACGAATATTGCTGATACGCTCTAAAAAAATTAAAGAAATATCTGAGGAGATCCAGGAAGATTTTGGAATACTTTTTCAAGAGATTTTGTAGGCCAGGAAAAGATTTTAGGATATCAGAAGAAATCAAGAAGATTTCCAAATATCCAAGTAAATTTGAGGAGATACAAAGAGATTCAGAAGATATCTGGGAAAATCCAGAAGATACTTTGGCATACTTGTCAAAGAGATTTGTATTCCAAGAGAAGAAAATTTGAAGATATCCAAGGAGATTCAGAAGATATACGAGAAGATGCAAAAGAGACTTTAGGATACTTGTTAGATATATTGTAGTAAAAAAATTTGGGAATATCCGAAGATATCACAGATTTCAGGAAAACCCAAGAGATCCAAGTGAATTTTAAAATGTTTAGAGAATATTCTAGGAAATTGTTAATTGCGTTCCAAAGGAAGAACATCCGAAGATATCTGGAGAACTTCCGAGATACGACTATTACTGTGACGCTCCAAGAAGATTGAATAGATATCTGAGGATATTCAGAAAGATTTTGGAATACTTTTTGAAGAGATTTATAAGCCAGGCAATGGTTTCAGGATATTCAAAGATATCAAGGAGATCCCAGACATCCAATTGAATTCGAGGAGATCCAAGGAGATTTAGAAGATATCTGAGAAGATCCAGGTGAGACTTTGTTAAAGAGATTTCTATCCCAACAGGAAGAATTTTGAGATATCCAAAAATATTCCAGATTTCAGCGAATCACGTGAGTTAAAATGTTTATTCATTCGAAGAAAATTGACCCACTCGCTAGGGCTCGTGGGTTAAACTTTCTTCTCATGAATAAACATTCATTTAACTCACTTGGTGTATAAAAAATATTATTTGACTATATGGAAATAATTGTTTCGAGTAGCGAGTATTAGGTATTCGAAACCTTTCGAGTTTTTCACATCAAGTATTCCTCTATTTGACCCATAATAATTGAGTAATTTGCCAATTCATCAATTCGACTCGCTAAATGCTTTTGTATATTTCCGAATAACTGAGTCAAGATCTACTTAGCAAAGGGCTCTTGCTTGATTTCATTTTCCAATAAAAAGCCCGAGGGAATAATTGCGAAATCTCGATTTGAATTTTTATTGGAACATTCCTAAGTAGTGAGAATTTCTCCTTAATATTGTCGACAAAAAACTCATTCATAAGATTGAAATATGTTTCCAATTGTTTGAGAAATTGGGACACTTCTCTGCATTGTTTTGGACCCAGTATTAAAAATGGTAGTTGATGGATATTATTTTTTCTGGATTTTTGGTTTGATCTTGATGAGAACCATTTCCCAAATTGTGGCGCAAGCAATTTGGACGAAAATCCAAATCAATTAGGAACAACAAAATACTATCCACACTAAAAAGCCAATATTGATATAAGTTATCAAACTCAGGAAAGCAATTTCCAACTCGAAATTCTCTAGAGACTTCAACATAAGCGATACCCTAGAGAAAAAGAGCAACTTAGTTTATAATTAATCAATTTCCAAAATAAAAACTTATTGCTGTCTCGAAAAGAATTCAATACTATCAATAATGTGTCACTAACAATTTTTCTAAACTTTTTCTATATTGAAAAATTTAAAACTACTCAATTTTTCATGTCAACATTAATGTATCAAAATCTTTTTATCTTTAATGTATTTTTATGTGTGATTTATTATAGGTACCAGAGATTTACTAGCAATTTTTTCTTTAGGAATTTGAAGAATCCATTAGCAAAAATAATTCCAATAAATACACTCAAATGAAAAACTTATTTGGTGAGGGAAATTTTATGTAGTTGCTTTATCTCAAATCTAATGAACTTTTGAAATATTTTCTTCAAAATTTGATACTTTATGAAACGAATTTTTCATGAACTTTTCAAAAAGATTGTAAACTGACTTGTTAAAATATGTTAATACAGAATGTAAAACTTGCACCGTTGACCTAAAAAATATTAAATTACTTTGAGAACAAAAACTTTTTTGAAAGTTTTAAAAATTGTTTGCAAGAATATGTTAATATAAAATCTAAAATTTAGATGATGCACCCCAAACAATAATTATACTAATTTTTAAATAACTTACTTGAAAAATATCAAAATTACTTGAACAAAAATGTCACAAAATGAAAACTTTACGCGTACAATTCAGACGCGATCCAGAGGATTTCCCGAATCGCCTGGCCAGGAAACCGGGATTTCAACAGGACGAAATATCCAGACGCACTGGCATATCGTCGAGTCGCGCGGACCGTTTTCAACATCGCCAGAAGGAAAAGTTTTCCCGAAAATTTGAATTATAGGGGTTTTCTTCTCTATACGCTTGCGCGATTTATTGGAAGTATTCCATCAGATATAGCAAATGGAAGAATTCCCTGTTATTTTTTTCTAAATTTAAAACTTATTATCTTGTAATAAATATATTAATTATTTTCTATTTACCAAGCTAGCCAAGCATTTTTAAAGTCATCGATATTACAATAGTGGGTCAGTAAAACATATAAGTCAGCACTTTAGTTAATTTATCAGTTAATTACCTTTGTAAATATTGCATTTATTTGTGTATTAATAGTGTTACCGTTCCTTAAATAAATTAATATTAAATCATCAGTCGTTTCTACTCAATCACACCTAACAGTCAACTGCTTACTACAGAGTGTTACTACACACCCTATCAAATATTCGACAACAAAGAAGAAGTAGGTACTCAGAGTGTAATCAGTCATTCTCTGCCACCTTTTCTAGTTACAAGACTTGTCACATCAAGAGAACGATTATACACCTGTTTTTACCTTGATGAATTTTCACTATGAATTTAATTGCTTCACTAACGATTATTCTGATTATACAACTCACTGTACATTATTCCCATATGACACGAGAGGCTTAACAAGTGATAAGCCGTTTGGGATTATCGCACTTGGTGGCATTTGTTATTAATAATTATAAAAATTGATAAAGCTTATAAGTTTAGTTCGTTGTATAACCTTTTGAAAACCACTCGATGTTTCAGAATTACCTAATACTTTTACCTGACACTCAACGCGTTACCAGCAACACCACTCCTCCTTCGGAGTCGTGGTGTTGCTGCGTAACGCGTTTCGTGACAGGTAAAAGTATTATCCGGTAATCCTGAAACCTCTTGTGGTATTACATTCGATAATGTTAATCTAAGTAGATTGCAAAAATGTCTCAGGGGTAAAGCAAGAGTGGTGGTGAGAAACTTGAATTTCAAATATATAAGCTCCTACGCAGAACATGATATGATTATGCTTTGCTATAGTGACTAGTCTGTAATAACTGGAACATCATCATGGGGATTTTGGTGTCTATTTGCGGCATCACCAATATATTCAAGAAACTGTACTGAGGGATATTTTATATTGTTTTCAAATCTTGAATATCCCAGAAACCATAAGACACTGGCTTTATGTGCACAAGTTCCAACTATTCTTGCTCCTGATTTGCAGGTGCAGTAATATGCAGTTATTTCATGCGCATATTCGATCCAGATATGATGTTTGATGCAGTTTTGGAATCTTGACCATATTCTTAATCAAATAGTGTTAACAAGCTGATTTGCAAGCTCAGCGATTCTTCGGCCGTATCAAATTTTGACTTTCGACCTGGGAGGTTGAGCCTAGCCTGGGGGTAGCCATCTTCCTAAGTTAAATACCTATTACCCTTCTCGTGGAAAAAAGTACCTTATCGGCCATCAGGCACTATTTTGACGAAATAAAGTTGCGTAAGGCAATGTTCCGTTAATTACCGAAAAATTTAATATCGAAAATCTTGTGATTACCGTTTCTTTCGATGAAGCCGTTTCCAACAAACCCACATTTCTATAGATCACTATTTTCGTGGAGCATGGGCATAGAGCTTTTGAAGAGATTTCCTAGAGGAATCAAGTCCCTTGACTCCTGTACCTCCACATTTGACGATAACTGAGAACTTCTAGCCTCTATCTACCTTGATTCAAGGCAACTTCCCTCGTCAAGTGACAGAAAATGAATGGCTACCGTACTCCACCTTTTACGTGTACCCTATGGGTACAGGTGGCAAACCAGAAGTTTCGGCTGAGATATGTCGAATGCCTTCTAGGCTTGAACACAGCGATTTGAGTCATCGTGTAGCCGTGCGCTCGTGACAAACATGTTTCCAACGTTGGGCACACGCACCGTTCGGGTCAAAGTCGGTAAATTTGACCCGCTTCAAAGAAGGCTTCCAATTTTGGACAGATGTTGGAGACACTGCCACACGAGAATTGACAGCTCGTCCGTTTTAGGGTTAGATTCAGTAGCGCTAAAAAAAAAATGCTTGTCGTGACTCGTGCTACTTTGAAACGAAACGGCACTGACAGCGATACTTCAACCTTTGTTCCAAGGTTTGTTCCAATGTTGGGAAGGATGTTTGCCTCATCTTGTAGCGGACCCATTTGCCAAATGCTACAGTGCCAAACTTCACACTTCAATTTTTGTTATTGTTGATATTCAGTTGTTTTGACTCGCTTTTGCAATCATTATTTATTTCAACTTTTAAATTGTGAACATTCTATTTTGAGTAATAAAAGTATTCTGAGTTTAATCCTTTTTTCCACGGTAGAACCTACATACCCGTTATATTGGCGCCTAACGTGGGGCCGTGGAAGGATTATCAGAACTCTTTTTTAATGCAGTGTGCTACTGCCCCCACAAAACAAAATTCTAAAAAACAATTGTAGGTGATTCGCCTCGATTTTGTTCCCGTGAGTGTCGGACAATTTTGGACTCCGTGCAATCGTACAAGTGACATTTTAGACTGTTTTGTTAAATTGATTCGCCCCGATTTTTCTCTCGCGTGTGTCGGACAATTTTGAACTTCGTGCAATCGTTCAAATAGGTGTCCAAAACTGTAAGTATATGATGTTTAATTATTTTGGTGATTCAGAGAAACCAGATATTTCATCGACATCATCCACATCTAGAAGCCCTTACGAGCTTCGTTCTCGTAGAATTTGTAACCTAAATAACAATGTGAGTTTTGTCACGTTAACAGACGAACAGTTTCAACAGCTTATGTATCGCCTAACTATAGCCCCTCGGCAACAGGCTGCTTATCAAGCTCCAGCTCATACTGGAAACTTAGCAAAATGTAATTCAATATTTGATGGTTCTTCAAATGCTGATGTTAACGCAATCATCGATGCAGTAGAAATTTATAAAGACTGTAGTCTAGTACAAGATGACAATGCTCTTAAAGGTCTGCCTATGTTGTTTGATGGTTTTGCTGCGACGTGGTTCCAGGGCGTCAAATCGTCCTTAGCCACCTGGAAAGATACCATAGATTTGCTTCAGTCTACATTTGGCCCTATTAAGCTCCCTTATCGAATTTATAGAGAACTTTTTTTACAAGAACAGGACTCTAAAACTAAAACTGACGCTTTTATTTGCAAATCTCGGAACACTCTCGGTGGAACCCTAACGGAGGAAATTTAACTCGATATGGTGTACGGTTTAATACACAGGCAGATAAGTGAAAAGGTTCCACGGGACAAAGTACAATCGTTCCAAGAACTTTTAACACAAGCACGTCTAGCTGAAGAAACTTTTGAATCGCCTGATGTTAGTAAAATCACGGGTACTGAATTCAAGGGACAAAAGCGTTGCGTGTACTGCAAAAATGCCAGTCATGTCAAAGAAGAGTGCCGTAAACTTAAGAAGGCCTTTGAACTTGGTAATTCTCCACAAAATGTCACAAGAAATACAGTTCATCAGACCCAGGCAAATGTACAAGTTCAAAACGCTACAGCCCAAGAAATAAGTTCCCCTGTGTCTTGCTATGGATGTGGTACTCCTGGGTTTATACGCAGTAACTGCCCTAACTCTTCAACTAAGTATGGTTCTTCCCTAGGTTCTTCTTAAAACCCGGTCATGGCTGCTAAATTTTTTCGGCCTTTGGTGCCGATTTCCATTTTTGGACATGGCAGGTATGCTTACTTGGACACTGGTGCAAAATCAAGTATGGCTGGTGAAATTATTGACTCAAGACATGGTACCCTATCATGTTATTAACGACCTGAACATTAGCTGATGGTATAAAAAGGAAGGTCATAGCTAATGTTTTTCAACTAAGCATAGATCTACAAGGTAAATCAATAGAAGTCCGAATTTTGTCCATTCCTGATCATGAAAACAGCCGTACGCTGCTTGAGGTGGATTTTATCCAAGCAGCCAACCTTATCATTATTTTTCTGAGAATCCTTATAAACCATACACTTTCTGTTCCGAAGAAGACATAGCTCTACAACTACAACTACACAGTGTCGATTTTTCAGAAATTTCTGTCCAAGAGATTAAAGGTCTTACCTTGCAGCCAGAGGAAAAAGAGAAGCTGACTGCTGTATTGTGCCAGAACGCCAGCGTTTTCGAGCCCAATAGCGAACCTACTCCATTTGCAGAGCATGCAATTGTTTTATTGAACGATAATCCTATATTCGCTTTTCATAGGCTCATGGATCGTTTTCGTGCTGGTTTACCTGACATTTTTATGTTGATGTATCTTGACGACCTGATAGTCATTTCATCGAGTTTCACAGAACATCTCCAAGATCTACAAAAGATTTCCAATAGATTGAACTTGTTCAAACTCAAGTTAAACCGCCATTTCTCCTGCGATTCGATCAAGTACCTTGGACACGTGATCACCCCAGAAGGGATCCTGCCCGATAACACCAAGGTTGCAGCGAATATGAATATGCCACCCAAAAACGTCAAAGAGCTCTTAAGTTTCCTGCAAACCTGTTCCTGGTTCAGAAGATTAATCGACAATTTTGCAAGTATTTCCAAACCTCTCATATCACTGACAAAGAAGAATGTGAAATGGCAGTGGGAATAAGAAGCTCAATAAAAATTGCACTGAGCTCTACACCAATCCTAAGACAGGCTGACTGTAAGTTAACCTATATACTACGTACTGATGCAAGCAGTTATGCCCTCGGAACATGTCTACTCCAGGGGAAGGGGGAGGATGAACGTTGCTCAAACAGGCAGAACAAAACTACAGCACGACTAAACGAGAAACTCTTGCTGTCGTCTGGGCTGTTCAGAAATTAAGAGGATATATGGAAGCTTTTACTGTCATAGTACAAAGTAATCATCAACCTTTAAGATGGTTGATGTTCCTAAAAACCCCCACAGGACGACTATCTCGATGGGCTTTAAGCCTACAAGGTTATGATCTCCGAATCGATTATATTCTTAGCAAGAAAAATGTTATAGCAGACACCCTGACAAGAATCAGATGAATCAATCAATATTGTCACTGTCGATCTACCAACAAAATTGGCAAGTGAAATCCGAGCAGAACAGATGACTGATCCTGACTTAAGTAAGACAATGAATGAACTAGAAAGTTCTGCTACTGGCCTAGGTTTAAAAAAATGGGCTGAGAGAGGATATGTCCTATCCAATAGAATCTTATATCGATATTCACCGGAAATAGATGAAGAAAAGCTTTAAAAACTAGCAGCACGAAGTCAAATACCGCAAATATTACACGAATACCATGAATCAGAGACCGCTGGTCACTATGGAATTGAACGAAACTTCCAAAGAATGGCTAGAAGATACTATTGGCTCGGAATGAAGAGAACCATTACAAAACATATTAGCAAATGCATTGAATGCCTAAGGTTTAAAGCTAACAATTCAAAACCTGTAGGACTTCTGCAAACTCCAGTACAATCCCAGAGATTTGAGACAATTGCCATAGATTTATTCAGACCCTTACCGGAAACTTCTAGTGATTACCGATAGATTTTTATCGTGGAGGATACGGCCAGTCGCTGGACGGAGATGTTTCCTCTTCAAAATGCCACAGCTGAAGCATGCGCCCGCTGTCTCATCGATGACGTCATTCTTCGGTACGGAGTTCCAAGACGCGTGATCAGCGATAATGGTGTCCTATTTGTGGGAGCAATTATGCAACAAGTTGCGTACTGTTTAAACTTCCAGCAATGTCTAAGACCTGTATATCATCCTGAATAAAACCTAGTAGAGAAGAAGAACGGAGGCATGAAAACACAGTTGTCTATACTCTTTTCTCACGATCATGCATTGTGAATGAATAAATTGCCGGCGATACGATTTGCTATTAGCACTGCCAGATACGGATCAATAGAATATACTCCAGCATATATGACATTTGGTCATGAATTAAGAACCGCGAAGAAGAATATGCGAGCAATTACCGGAAATGACACTTTCGTTCCACAAATTACCCCTCACTTCAAGCAGCAGACTTCGAGAAGCTCGAGAAAATCATGAAAGGACTCAAGACAGCCGTACACAGATTAAGGATCAAGAAAGAAGATCATTTACCTATAAGACAGGAGATAAAGTGCTAGTTAATACACATGTTTTGAGCAGCATCAAGAATCAGTTTACTTCCTTTGCACCGAAACCTGATGGACCATACTTAGTACAAAAACAAATAACTCCCACCACATACGTGATACCATCTATCGAAGATCCTGAAAAACAGCTTGGAAAGTATCATGTATCGGCTCTAAAACCTTTTGTGGAAAAATAAAGTCAAGTTCCAAATCCAGCATGCCCAATCCAGAAACTAAGACGACCTGATTTGTCTAGGAAAAAAAATAAACTAGATGATGCACATGCTGTAGAAACAGAAAATGTTACTATGTCCCAAAACGAAGATGAAAACATAGTAACATTTGACATGGAAACTACCAAAGAAACTGAGAACCCAGAAGCGGGCGAACAAGGTCCTTAGGAGGAATAAATTAGACAAAGCACTAATACTATTTGGACTAAAGAATGCCCCAGCCACTTTTCAAATTTAGGAAATTCCTTGAGTTTCCAAACACTACAAAAATTATTCAAGATGTATTGATAAGATTACCCTACCACTATAATGAAACAGGGTCCCTAAGAACTGCTCCTCTGTTGTGCCTAACCCCAACTTTTCTTGTTGCCACACACTGTGGTGCAAAGGGGGATATTGTAACGCCCTATATGAAAAAACCGAACACGCCCCATATACCAAACCGAACGTTGTTTTGCATCGCTGTTGCAATTATTGTTTGTTTCAACTTGTAAAATGTGAATATTCTATTTTGGATAATAAAAGTATTGTGTGGTTAGAGGTACAACAACTACAACATATCAAAAATTCAAGCAATTTCAGCAAAACCACTTTTCAATGTAATTTGTGCGTGGTCCTTTGAAAAATAAATATAATATTAGCTACTTCACATGAAAAAAAAAACGAATTGTTTGTTTAAAAGCTTCCAAGAAAAATGGAAAGGTTTCTGGCATCCCAGGTATTAAAACATATACCAAATTCTAACAAATAACGTTTGATGATTCTTTATTGGAAAATTAGCATTTTTCTGGATTCCAATTGACATTTTTTTATTTGATCCGAAGGCAATTTCGACTTCACACAATCAATTTTTTATATGGCACATTTTGTCTGTCATGAAATAAATTAAAATTAAATACAATGCTTGATTTTGAACACAAAGCCAATGTCTATTTTCATCAAATAAATGAATACAACTTACATTCAAATCATTATCCTGTAATATTAGTTCTTCTCTATAAAGTCTTAGTACACTGATTTTTTTAAACTATTTAGATAATACGCACTATACACTTAAAAATAAAATAACACACAAATGACAAAAGTATAATATGCCCAATTTTCAATGTTCAACACTATAGAAAATCGATAAAACTAATCGATTTTTTTTTGCATATCGGTTAAATTATTATCAGACGAATTATTTCGTAATAATACGATAACAAATTCGATTGTCTATCGGTGATTATCGATTATTTATCGATCAAACTATAAATAAAGTGTAATAAATTGTCTCGGTATCAACTTGAAATAGAAGTAAGCTTAAAGGAAGATTATAAAATGTATGATAGTTATGATAGAAAACAAAGAATTTTACTCGTTTATAAATTTCAATGACACTTAGTTTGTTTTTCAATAATACTAGTTTAGGAGCCAATAACTTAGTTTTATTATTTTACTGGATTATTTCAATTTACTACTAAAATCTGTGTATGATATGGTTGAATCATTATTCTGTTTGATGACATTTTACAATTTAATACTAAAACCACTATCATTACAAAATCCAAATTACAGGCCTTAATATGAGCATCCTCCTCCCGGGATTTTGACAATAATGATATACAATACAAGGCTCCTCAATTTCAGAATTTCAGGCCTCACAATAATTATCATTATTATCGGTTTGATGTAGATGGGATTGTGATTTTTTAAAAATGTTCTTATAGATGATTTTTTTATCCAAAATAATTATTCATTCTAATAAGTGAAACGTGTTAAACCGCCAAGTGTCATGCCACATGTACAAATTACGTCGGACTAAACGTGCACTATAAAACCTGGATACTGCGTGATTTTCCATGAATGAGAAACGTGCTCGTTTTTCATTCAGTATTCTTCATGCAAATATTTGTTTGGAAATGTTTTATTTCCGGATTTTTGTTTTTGAGAAAGGAACTTAGTTTGCGTAATGTTTAATTCGATTTTAGATTATTTTTGGTCTGTCAATAGAATAATGCCACTTTGTCCCGATTTCACCTGAGAGAAAGATTTACTATTATTAGAGTCGGCCCGAAAGCATTTACATGCTTCTGTTCCTCAAGTTATTAATTCGTTATAAATTGAACAAGAATTGGATCAAGTCACTTGAAAGCTAAGTACCTAGGTATAAATGTTACTTTTGCGGATCCACCAAAAAGCATTTTCGTAGTTCATCAGCTTAAGATTCTGTTTGTGGCGAAAAGAGACATTTTTCTAAGGTATTTATGGATTTTCTTTTTTAAATTCAGAATGCCATAAAATTACTTAACAATGG